AAAAAAAAACAAAAAACAAAAGCTAAAAATTCTGCACTACAGAGCAAAAGTCGCGTACTTCAAACATTTTTCGTTTCCTCACACAAACAAAAAACACCAGCAGAGCAAAGCAAAAGCAAAAGCAACAATTGAGAAAACACCAACAACAACAGCAAGCAGCGGCCAGCAGACAGCAACAATTTGTGTATTTGCCCCCGTGTTTGAAAAACAATGAAATGTGATTTAAAAATTAATTAATTAAATTAATTGGCATTTAATTTAAAAAGCAAACAACAAACAAAATGAAAGAAAAAAACGTAAAAAAATTTACCACAAAAAGCATAAAAAAACTAACAAAACAGTCATTATACCATATAAAAAAAAGAAATGAGAATGAGAATGTGAAAAAGCACAGAAAAACCATTTAGTTGAGAGCATGAAAATTCCTTCAATGAAATTTACGAATTTAATGTGTAATTTTTTCCGACAGAAGCAGCAGCAGTGCAGCAGCAGAAATATGATTTAGATATCGAGATCGAAATCGAGATCACTTCCCTTCAGAAATGTCACACTACACGTTTTTCGTTTGCATTACTATTTTTAAACAATTTTAATTTTGTTGTGGAATGTTTCTTGTTTCTGTTTTATTTTTTATATATATTGTACAAAGTATTACCAGGAGAATGGAAAATCAGCAACAGTTTCACAGATGATTAGAAGCATGAGCAAACAAAAGCAAAAAGCATTAAAAAATGAGAAATACAAAATACATACATACATACATACATACAACAACAACAAAAATCCCAACAATTTTATTACATTTATAAAATGAAAAACAAAACAAAAAACAAACATTTAAATTTTAATTGTTGCATAATTTTAGTTTATTTTTAGAATGCCTAAATCTACAGAATATAAAAGAATAATTGATTTAAAGGATAAACGAAATTTAGCACAAAAGCAGAAAAAAATTATTAAGAATTATATTAATTATAGCGAAAACAGAAGATAAAAACAAAAAGTTTATGAATAAGGAAAAACGAAAACTAAAACAGAAAGCGCATAAATAGGGGGAGAAAAGAGAAATGGAGGATGTGTGAAGGGAGTATAGTGGAGTGTAGAGGGAAACAACAACTATTAAAAGTGTAAATCAAATTTAATGCTAGCTCTAAAATATATTGTAAATAAATGGAATATGATGTATAGTATGTTATGTATGCGACAAGAATACCCCCTGCCCACACCCACACACACACCCTCTCCCCTACACACACACACACACACACAAAGCTAATTAAAACATATACATATATGATAATGATAATAATAAATGAAAAAACAAAAGTATTTCAAAAAACTAAAAATGGTAAGGGATTTAAATTTTTTCTTTGTTTGGGTTTTATTTCGAGAACACAAATTAAAAAATTATTTTTTTCATATCATTTAAGTTTTGTTTTTCAGTTTTTCTATATTTTTCGTACGATGTGGTTACCAATGGACCAATTTTTATATATATACGACTATATATGTATGATACCCACACACCGAACGAGAGCGATAAGCGATATATATACATATATATATATATATATAGCGGAGAAATCCGATACGATATGATATTCAAAAATATAGCGAAATTTTAAAGCTTTTTCCTCCCCTCCGTTCCAGCGCTTACATTAAAAGAAAAAAAAAGAAATCGAAAATTAAACGCAAAAATCGCCTCAATGTGGTAGTTAAATGAATCTCAAATCTCTTCTCTCAATGTTATATCAAAGAAAAACGAAATCATATTACAATTATTATATAGTATACACGTGCGTATGTATGTATATCGTAAACAGAAAAGAAAGAAAAACAAAATTCGTAGTGGTTTCATTGTAAAACAATATTTCGTAAAAAGAACAATTAGCTTCAAGATCTATAACTGGAAGAACGAGTCCCCTCCCCTCACGACTGTTTGGGGTGTGGGGGCGGGGACTATTCCAACTCTCGCACTTCAGGCAGAATATGAATTAAATAAAGAAGAATTGAAGAAATACTTGTGGAGGGAGTACGACGAGAGATGCGCAAATGTGATTTTATTCAAAATAAAATACACATATAAAAAGATTACAATTAATAATGAAAGGTTTTTTATTTTGTGGATCTCCTGAAGATCCGATTTTTGATGATGCGGCATCTGGATGCGATGCTTGAATGAGTGGAGTAGAGAAGATGAAGGAGCGGAGAGCGTTGTACATACGAGTATTTAACTAACGTAAATTATAATGAACAAGGTATATATCGGAATATATATATACATACATATATATATATATGTTTAAATGTAGTCCATAAGTTGTAATTTTAAATGATGGAACAAAAGCAAATACACATTAAATAATATAAAGAAATAAACAGAGTTCCTCAAGACTTTCAATTCTCTTCCCGTTCCGTTCTTTCAATTCCAGCGACTCTTCTTGGCGCGTTTCGAGTCATCCCTGCTGCTGCTGCTGGAGGACGATGACGATGATCCTTGTGGTGGCGGCGGTGCTGGGGCAGCAAACACCCCCGTCTGGGGCACCGTCTCCTCCCAAGTGCGATCGCTGGAGGCCCGAAACTGGGAGCTGTACTGATTGCGGAAAGCCTCTCGCATCGCCGCATAGCGATCTGTGGCGGGGCCGCCACTGGAGGCGGGCCTTGGCTCCTTGGAGAAGGGATTTTCGGAGCTGCTGCCAGGCCTCGAGCTACCGCGTGAGGGTGATCGATCTCCAGAACCGCTTCTGTCTCTGGATCCTCTCCTTTCTCTGCCGCCGCCACCACCACCGCCACCGCCGCCATGTGTCGGCTCGCGATAGCCCAGTCCCGTGTATGTTTTGGTGACCTTTTTGCCCTTGCCCTGCTTGAAGCGGGAGCTGCGGAACCATGAGCTTTTCAGGGCCAGCTCCATGAGATCCTCCGGCACCTCTTGATCGGCACCCTCCAGATTGCGCACCAGATGGCCCGCAAACTCCTTGTCCTTGTCGGTGACCAAAGTGAAGGCATTGCCCTTCTCCCCGGCCCGACCCGTGCGACCAATTCGATGCGTGTGCGTGTCAATGTCCCTGGCAATGTCGTAGTTCACCACATTGCGGATGTGCGGGATGTCCAGGCCGCGTGCAGCCACATCGGTGGCCACCAGGATGTCGCACTCCTTGCGCTTAAACTGTGTGATGACCTTGTTGCGGTCCGCCTGGTCCATGTCGCCGTGCAGCAGCAGGCAGTTGTGCTCCTTGACGAGTAGATTGTTGGCCACAGTCTCGGCATCGGCCTTTTTGGTGACGAAGATCAGGACACTGCCCTCCGAGAGGAACTTGACCAGATGGCACAAGAGCCAATTCCACTTTTGCAGCGGATTGGGGAAGACGAACACCGACTGTGTGATGTCCTGATTGGCCTCATTCAGATCGCCCTGAACGATGCGCACCGGATCCGAGAGCACGTCTCTGGCCAGGCGCTCGATTCGCTTCTTGAAGGTGGCCGAAAAGAGCAGCGTCTGACGGTCGGGACGCACGTGGTTGCAGATGGAGCGCACCTGCGGCTCGAAGCCCATGTGGAACATGCGATCGGCCTCGTCCAGCACCAGAAAGGTCACTCGCCTCAGATTGGTGGCCTTCATCTTGACCATATCTATCATTCGGCCCGGCGTGGCCACAATAATCTCAGCGCCCTGCTCCAGGGCCTTGCTCTGCTCCCACTTGGAGCCGCCGCCATAGCAGCAGACCACATTGATATTGTACACCTTGCCGAACTTCTTGGCCTCGTTGTATATCTGCAGGGAGAGCTCCCGGGTGGGGGCGAGGATCAGTCCGATGGGTCCGTCGCCTGGCTTCAGCTCCCGCTGATCCATCAGGTGCATGAGCAGAGGCCAGATAAATGCAGCCGTCTTGCCAGAGCCCGTCTTGGCAATGCCGATGATGTCTCTGCCAGCCAGTGCGGTGGGCACCGCCTGCGCCTGGATGGGCGTGGGCTGCGTGTATTCCGCCTTTCGCACGGCCTTCATTAGCTGCTCGTCGAAGCCAAAGTGACCGAAAGATGTCACTGGATTGGGCGGTGAGGGCCCGGTGACCTTCACGCCAAGAGTCTGCCGCAGCTCACGGACCCCTTCCTCGTCCAGGGAAGCTATCTCCTCGTGCGGCGTGTAGAAGTTCTTCTCGAACGGCTCGTACTCGATCTCCGAGTGGTAGATGGTGGGCAAGGGATCTATGTCCTTCTTCTTGGGCGGTGCAATCGGATTGCCATCCTCGTCGTACTCGATTTCCTGGTCGGAGCCATCGTCGCGGAGACCAGCATTGGGATTCTCCTCCATGTAGCGGTAGTAGCTCTCCTCATCGTCCTCGTCATCGATGTCGCCACGAACACCCTTCTCCAGCTGCGGGGCGCTCGTGGCTTTTGGCTGCTGTGTGGCCGCACGGACCTTCTCCTTCTCCACCTGCTGATTGATGCCGGCCATGAACTGCTCCAGCGGATCCTCGTCCGAGTCGGATTCCTCCTGCTTCTTGTCCGGAGCAGTCGCCCCAGGCGATCCTGGTGCTGGTATGTACGCCTGCTCCAGCTCCTTGTGCTGCTGCTCATCATCGTCATCAAAGTAATCGTCGTCTGTGTGCTGCTTGCGTTTCCCCACAAAGTTTGTGGAATTGGTGTACTGACTGATGGAGTCCAGCGTCGTGTATCCCTGCTTGGATGTGCCACTGGCCGATGGAATCGGTGGAATGCCCCGACCGGCGGCACCTCCTCCCCTGGGCACATATCCGCGATTCACATTCAGCACCGGTGGCGGTGGCACGGCGTTCATGTTGTTGCCCGAGCTGGCCGGCTTCCTGTACGGGAAGCCGCCACCTCCTATTCCTCGGTAGCCGCTCATGATGCTCCAGTCCGCAAAATCTTCTCACAAATCAAATCAATAATTAAAGTTTACAATTTCTGCAAGCATTCCTAGCTTGTGCAGTGTTGGAAAATGTCGCTATCGATAAGTACTCCAGATATCGATAGCTTGCCTGCAATTGCATTTGTTGACAATAACAAAAATTTTCTAATGGCTGCGGAAATGAACAATGTGGCTCAGGACTATGCCAAGATCATACAGAGTGCCGATCTGGACAGAGAGATCAATCCGCTGTGCACGAACATCGACGATATGCTCGCCCGTCTCGACGAGTTCGAGACACTCCTTTCATCCGTAAGAAATTGCTATTCATTTTGATATTTACACTAATATATTCCCATTAAAAAGGTGCGTGCCGAGTCAAATGGCATCATGGCCAACCATGTGTGCAGCATTCTCAGCTTCAGCGACAATTTCGACGAGTTGCGAACCCGCATCGACAATCTGGAAAAGTTTGTGGGCGCAGTAAGTGCGAATCTCAATGATGTGGAACGCTCTGTGGACGTGGCGGAGCAGGAGCTAAATGTAACGGACTACAGCCTGAAGGGACTGCTGTTCAAGCCCCTCAAAGCCAAGTTGACTGCCACAGATCCAGCCAACGCTCAGTCCCAGCCCCGCACGAATCTCATTTCCGGGGAATTCCAGCCGGTTGCCATCTACAGCTCCGACGAGTACTTCGGTGCCGCTGCCACACCAGAGGAGCCCCAAGTGGCGTGAGCCCACCCGTTAAATATTTAGTGTTTCATTAGCAAAAGTCGTTTATGTAAGTGTGTAAATATTTTTTGTTTATTTTTCAATTTCGCAGTTTCTTTGTTTTCATTATGGAAAACGTGACTGGACAATTATCGTCACACGGTTACATAAGCAAGGGTTGGTGCAAGGCTGTGGCCTTGTCTTAGGTCTTGATCTCCTTGCTCTCCTCGGAGCTGGAACCGGCGTCGGCGGGCTTCTCCTTGTGGAACAACTCGGCCACGGACACGGGATGGTGGATGGGTATTGCCAGCTCTGTTGTGGCCTTGTTGTTGGCTGGAGCAGCGGTGGACTTGATCTCAGTGGGCACTGGAATGTCACGCTGATGACGCTGCGCAGAGGATTTTAACAGCTCTTCGGCCTGCTTCGGATCGAGCTCCAGTTCGAGGGTCCTTGCGAGTGCTGGCTTGGAGGGAGCTTCGCGCCTCTGCTTGTGGTGAGCGTGGGAGTCTGGCTTCGCCGAATGCTTCTCCTCGTGATGATGGATATCGTGATGGTCGGGCCCTGAGGCCTCTGGCTTCGGGGGAGAGTTTCGCTTCTGCTTGGGAGCTGTGACTGCAGGAGCGGATGCAGGCAATGCATGAGGCAATGCATCCTTTTTGGGCTCCTCGTGGTGACCCTCGTCATGATGGCCCTCTTCGTGGTGAGCCTCGCGCTTGGACAGCTTGTGGAAGTCGGCATGAGTGTGGGCATCCTTCGCCTCATCCTTCTTTGGCTCCTCCTCGTGGTGACCCTCGTCATGATGGCCTTCTTCGTGGTGAGCCTCGCGCTTGGACTGCTTGTGGGAGTCGGCATGAGAGTGGCCATCCTTCGCCTCGTCCTTTGGCTCCTCCTCGTGGTGACCCTCGTCATGATGGCCTTCTTCGTGGTGAGCCTCACGCTTGGACTGCTTGTGGGAGTCGGCATGAGAGTGGCCATCCTTCGCCTCGTCCTTCTTTGGCTCCTCCTCGTGGTGACCCTCGTCATGATGGCCTTCTTCGTGGTGAGCCTCGCGCTTGGACTGCTTGTGGGAGTCGGCATGGGAATGGGCATCCTTCGCCTCATCCTTCTTTGGCTCCTCCTCGTGGTGACCCTCTTCGTGATGAGCCTCTTCGTGGTGAGCCTCGCGCTTGGACTGCTTGTGGGAGTCGGCATGAGAGTGGCCATCCTTCGCCTCGTCCTTCTTTGGCTCCTCCTCGTGGTGACCCTCGTCATGATGGCCTTCTTCGTGGTGAGCCTCGCGCTTGGACTGCTTGTGGGAGTCGGCATGAGAGTGGCCATCCTTCGCCTCGTCCTTCTTTGGCTCCTCCTCGTGGTGACCCTCGTCATGATGGCCTTCTTCGTGGTGAGCCTCACGCTTGGACTGCTTGTGGGAGTCGGCATGAGAGTGGCCATCCTTCGCCTCGTCCTTCTTTGGCTCCTCCTCGTGGTGAGCCTCTTCGTGATGACCCTCTTCGTGGTGAGCCTCGCGCTTCGACTTCTTGTGATCATGCTGCAGAGGTTCGTGAGTCTTGGCTGGCGATTCCGACTGGCGTTGGGGATTATGCTGCAGCAGCTCGCGGGCCTTCACGCTGTCGGGCTTGGGGTGAGCAGTCTCATCCCGCTTCTGGCGATGCAGGGCGGGCTCACTCTTCAGGAGGACAACCTTCTCGTCGGGCTTGGGATCGCTGATCACATCAGGAGCGATAGGACTTGGACGCGAAAGAGCCACCGCGGCTTCCTTGACGTCAGCCGGAGTGGTGGGAGCCGCATGGCAAGCGGCGAATAAGGCCAAGAAAATTATCTGTGAATTGAAACGAAAATAGAATCATAGAGAAAGTTGACTTTGCGGGCAGTCTGCTGATGTGGACTCACAATCGACTTCATGTTCGTCTGCTGGGTGTGGTGTGTGTGATGTGTTGACCGGTGGGAAATTTCTCCCAAACTGTTGCTGTTTGCACCGTGGGCAGCCTATTTTATGAGCGAATCCCATCCGAGGCGCCGAGCGTCCCATCCCAGCGACTGGTGGGCTGTTAACCAGTTTGTAATTCGGTGCTAATTGCCGCTAGATGCACGCCAAGTACGCGAAACCCGTTCCCATATGTAAATATGTATCAAATATATTATTTTCCACATTGATATTGATTTGTCTGACTAATTATAAGCCGTGGAAATCACCGTCCAAGTCCAGCATCTCATCACATCAAAAAGCAAATTAGCAAAAAAAAAAAACATAGACAACAAAATCGGCTCAAGGCTTATTCAGAGTCGGAACCCAGACCTAGATTCAGAGATACAAATACATCAGATAGAGGTACGGATACGATACCGGCCGATCCGTTAGTCATATCTGGTTAGCACAGACTTGCAAGAAAGAAAAAAAGGCGAGCTGGGCAGTGAAGTCGCTCGTTCTCTGGAAATACTTAAGTAGATGGGAGTTGGGGTAGCAGCTAATTTCAAGTGCACATAAATAACTATGCAAATATTAATAGGATTCTATAATTGTTGCCCTTTTACGTAAGTTGAACATTTTTGTTGATATTTAAGTGTAAGTCAATCAATTTAACATTTAATTTTCAGGAAATGTACGCAGCAGGGGCACTGCTTTGATTGATTGATTGACTAATTGCTCTGAATAGTTGAATTTCAATTTCAAATAAATAACGCTCTCGTCCAGTGTGCACACACCTGAAATATATTGACTTTGCGCTTGGGCAAATTTAGTGCCTTTCCACATGCGCACACACAGGTGTAGACACTCTCATTTTTATTGATCAATTTGTTGCGATTAACCCGTTTTTAAGCCCGTAAACAAAGCGAAAATGCCAACAGAAATTGAAAATATCAATCCCAATGTCTATGACAAGATTAAGGAGCGTGTGACGACAGCCAATGAGGAAGACGAGAACGTAGCAGATCCCTTTGACAAGCGCGAGATTTTCGGTGAGCGATAAAGATAAATATTACAATTGCTAAATAACGCTGCTGCTGTTGTAGATCTCATACGCAACATCACTGATCCGGAGCACCCGCTCACACTGGAGGAGCTGCATGTGGTGCAGGAGGGGCTCATCCGCATCAGCAACAAGCAGAACTCTGTTTTCATCAACTTCACACCCACGATTCCGCACTGTTCGATGGCCACGCTGATCGGCCTGTCCATACGGGTGAAGCTGCTGCGCTCCCTGCCGCCCCGCTTCAAGGTCACCGTTGAGATTACGCCCGGGACCCATGCTTCGGAGCAGGCGGTCAACAAGCAGCTGGCGGACAAGGAGCGTGTGGCCGCTGCTTTGGAGAACAAGCATCTGGCCGAGGTAATCAACCAGTGCATCGCGGCCAGGGGTTGAACCAACCCCCCCTACACTGCACCCTACCCCCTAGCTGTTCCATGTTGTTTTAGGTAATACAAATTATATTTTAGCAGCAGAACTCTCTGGGGTCATGAACTATCGGCTAAAAGGTAAACGTTAACAAAACACAGCGTCGCATGGCGACTGGCTGTACTCGCATGTATCATCGGGTTATTCTTTGGGCGGTTCCTTTAACCGCATGTGTGGCTCCACGATGGGCAGGGGCTTTGCCTTGGTGGGATCGTGCTTGAAGGTCTTCACCAGCGGCCCCTTGCCAGCCTTGGCAAAACGGATTTCATCCAGACGCTGTCGCTCCTCGATCTCCTTGGTGATCTTCATGTTGTCCCAGGCTGAAAGAGGGTTCAAAGATTACACTAGATCGTTCTTTAAAATGAGTGTTTTCCAAGCTTACACTCTTTCATGCCTCCAACGAATCCCTTCTTCTTCGTGGGCAGCGCACTCGGTGCATGCGTCAGCATCTTCTCGATCTTGAAGTATTCCCGCACTGCGGGAATACGCAGCACGGCCACCTGTCCCAGTGAGATGAAGTTACTGCATGCCCAGTACGTGAGAATGGCCGCCGGGAAGTTCATTGTGAAGGGGAAGATGACGAGGGGCAGGGCTCGCAGGACGTACTTCATCGTGTTCATGTTGGCGGCCGACAGGCGGGCGCTGTCCGTGCCGATCTCGATGGTCAGGTAGAGCGTCGCACTAGTGATCAAAGGCAGTATATAGAGAGGATCGGCCAGGGTCAGATCCTGGAACCACCAGAGTCCGCCATCCCTCATGGAGTCCACGGGCGTATTGGCCATCTGACGCAGTCCCATGAAAAAGGATATGAAGAGCGGCGCCTGAGCTAGTGGCACAATCATATTCTTCAGCGGATTCACGCCCTTATCCCGCATAAACAGCATCATCTCCTGGGCGTAGCGGGCCGACTCAATGGCATTACCCGACTGCCTGGCCTCCGTCATCTTGAGCTGCAGCAACTGCATCTGTGGCATGTTGTTGTTCATCTTGGCCGAGTTCCGCTGCGCGAGAATCACCAGCGGAAAGATGATTGTGCGCACCACCAGCGTCCCCACGGCGATAGCACCCCACCAGGGCAGCTCCCACGTGCAGTGCAGGAACTCCATGCAGTTTTGTACGACACCCACGGGCGTCCAGCCCCCCAGTCCGATCGACGCGAATGTGGCCTCTCCAGCAGCATTCACCACGTCCACCACATTTGTGGACATATCCTCCAGGGAAAATGCGGGCGGTGTCGGTGCCGCTGGAATATCGGGCAGGTCGACTAGCTGCTTGGTGGACACCAATTCCGGCAGGCCCTCGGCGTCGGTGCTGGCAAAGCGCAGAGCACTAGCGCCCATCAGCGCTGGGGGCAGAAGCTTTTGTGCGGGCAGCAGCATGGAGTGTCGCGCCAGCTGGGCGCTCCAAATCCTGTGGCTGGCCACGTGCATGTCTCTCCTGTTGGCGGGTGAGTTGTGCTGTGTATATATTTCATGATTAGTTGCGGTGCGGTGCTTCAAGTTCATAACATAACAAGTTACCGCGTTTGCAGGTTATGTCATAGAGAACTCCAATCTATGCACCGGCTGTTTCTTACCTGTGTTGTGGTCAAGCGGGCGGCAGCAGTGTTGAATGCTGCAGCCGCATTGGTTGCCCGCCATAGCTGCATCCTGTTTACCAGCATCGTACAGTGTGTTTTTAATTTAGGAAATCTATCTAATTTGTTTTAACATAAACTTAACTTGACCTGCTGGTGTGACCGTGCAGCGCGAGCTTCGGAAATACCGAAATTCGGGGAAAATAGCGCGTTTTTTCGTTATGAAAGAACTTTCATTGCTTCTTTGGCGGTAAAATTTGAAGTTTGAATCTGTGGCTTGACTTAAAATATGATTTTGAGTGCGATTATACAAAATGGTCTGCTCTGATTTAGTTTTGAAAATTGAATTAATTAGCTCAGCAATTTACGATTTGCTTTCGCTAGGCCATAAAAATATTTGCCAATTTTATGACAGAGAGACTTCCCGGATGGCCAACGGGTTCCGTTCCTGCTGGCCATTGTCCAGAGCCAGAAGAAAATGTTAAAAGTCAATGTGACATATTTGGCACACAAAATTATGTCACTGAAATACTTCAATTTTAGTCAAATTAATTAATTAATATTCATTCAATTCGATACCCTTTCCCATGGCTAAGGCCTCGCTCATTTGGCTTGGAAGTAGCTAACGAATAACTAATCTTAAGCCGTCAGTGTATTGCCGATTCGTGCTGGTCCATTTCTCACTATAAATAACGATACACTTTATATTAAGATTGGCATGGGAAAAATAAATTATAAATCTTGCCTTGTTGGGACGCCCTCATCTGCATATTGCTGAAACCTGAGAGATTATAGGTGTTCACAATGCGTATTGATCTCCAACCCAGAATCGGTGTGTGAATTATTATAAAGCCGCCATAAGCATGGACGCGCTTCGACATGCAAAACTAATTTGTTTATTAAAGAAGGGGGGAAACAACAAATGCAAAGTCGAACAGCGAAATATTATATCACTTAGAAACTAGTTTATTGACTTTGAGTTAAATACGAGTATAATATGTGGTGGATATGATTTGAGTATTGCTGCTGCTGCGTGGCCGGTAGATGCATCTTTTTGTACATGAAATGGAACACAATGAAGATAATCGCCACTAAGTAGCTACTATAGTCAAATGTCAAACGCATGATGAGAGGATTGACACCGAATCTGGCATTACCTTTTAAGCATTGACGGATTTTACTACCATGATTTCGTGGGGAAAATGTTTTAAACTGTCTTTATGTTCGCCTTTAATTTATTTAAATTTTTCACGAATTTCCACAGCGTTGAAGGTTGAATTTAAGTGCCAATGCAGCTGGAAAAGAGATGTGGAGATGGATTCCCTACCCGTCACTTTTAGGCATTTTTTTTTATGAGGTAGCCAATATAAAATGGAATTAATTAATGAAGCCTAAGTTTGCATTTACGATTCGTCGGAAATGTGAAGACGGGCGATAACGTATAATATACTATGTATAGCGGTGATACCCTTATAAAGAAAAGAGAATCAACAAGGAATATTGATAGGGAGTTTTAAGCCAAAGCTTATGCTTTAAAATTTTAAAGTTAAAAAACAAATAAATCAATGGTTCCCATCGAGCTGCTCGATGATTTCACTTTCCGTACATGCCATAAAGTTCAATTTTACGACTTTCGTGTTCTCAACAGCTAAACTTCTTCTTCAAGGTTAGACTTAGACCACCTATGTTGATTAATGTGGTTCGCACTTCACACCAGCTATCAGCACAGTGGAATGAAAGTACATACTTCGCAAAGGAAACAAACTGTAGTTTAGCAAAGTAGTTCCCAAAAAACAAAACCTATACTTCCGAATGCTTTAGTTCCTATCTAATCCCTCCATTTCCTCATATCATTAACTACAACCCTTTTGAGTGGCAGATCCACTGTGCAGGCGCTAGAATATATGTGTATATTTGTATAAAATACATCTTTAAAGGTGCCGCAAGAGACACGAGACATTTTGTGTCAATAGATAAGGCGGACAGGAGGGCGCTGGTCTGGCAACGGGTAAATCCTGTTTGATATCTTATTTTGACTATTAATTAAGTATTAACTCCGTTTTATGGGCCAATTTGTTAAACGCACACATTTCAGCGCCTCTCGCACACCTATCCAATGGATGTACATTACGGGCAAAGCTTCGTGCGGCACTTGGCAACGGATCGATCGAGGGCCGAGACGAAGAAGCGTCATAAAACTCGAACTGGAAAAATTAAGCTTAGCCTTTGGGCAGACCAGGCCAAAAGTGGTACCATAAATTATGCTAAATACGTATTGGGACTGTCGTACCGTACCGCACGCTACATGCCATTTCAAATGCATTTAATTAAGTGTGTCTTTTTGGGTGTGCCGGGTAGGTTTTTCAGACTAGACCCAGACCCGGACCAGACCTAGGCTAAGCGGCGACATTGACATTGCCGCATGTGGAGATACTTTTAACTTTTGCTCTTTGCAGAGCCCCAACCCACACACACACATCGCACTCTACTCTCGCAGCATGAGATGGAAATTGGAAGACATCGGAGCTGCCGCTGCCGCCGCCGCCGCCGATGCTCCAGTTTGGCCAAAACTCATTGTTATTTAGATGTGTGTTTCCTGCAGTCCGGCGTAAAAGTTGTTTGGGTGGATCGAGTTTCGGTTGATTGAGAATTTGGAATCAGTTTGGTGTTTGGTATAAAAACATTTGCAATTGGCCACAGAGTCATCATTCAGAGTTGTCTCACAGTCCCAGACAAACGAATTCCTCCTCAATTCTGCCAAGATGTTCCGCTACGTAAGTATCCAGGATATGGTTTGCCAGAGATCAACTAACCGACTGCTCCTATCCCATCCAATACAGGTGCTCGTCGCCTCCGCCGTCCTGGCCTGCGCCTATGCCGCCGCTTCCTACAACACCGATGCCTCCGCATATGTGGTGAAGAACAGCGCTGACATCCAGCCTGAGGGACAGTACCAGTACCAGTACGAGACCAGCAACGGCATCGCCGCCCAGGAGTCTGGACTTGGAGGCCACCAGGCCTCGGGTGGATACTCCTACTATTCGCCGGAGGGACAGCTTGTTCAGATCTCCTATCTGGCCGATGAGAACGGTTTCCAGCCCCAGGGTGATCTCCTGCCCACTCCCCCACCAATCCCAATTGCCATCCTGAAGTCCCTCGAGTACATCCGCACTCACCCTCAGTACCAGGAGCCACAGCAGCAGTACCGGCAGGTGCAGCAGCAGCAGTACCGCAGCCCCGCTCGTGTCCAGAACAAGCGCGTCTACGGTTAAGCAGCGACAAGCATTATGCAAATGTTTTAAAAAAGCTTTATTACACTTTTTAAATGAATAAATATTATTGAGGAGAAAACTAATTTGAAATGTGGTTAAAAATCTGCACGCGATCGGAAATGACAGCTATATCTGCGCTGGACATGAGTAAACATGATTGAACATGAATGAACATGAATGAAAAATAACTAACAATAAATTTATATACTTGTATGGTTAGTGTCGATACTTTAGGGGGGTACATCAAATTTTTAAATATAGGAAAAATGTAAAAATGTAGAAAAAATTTAAAAATAATAAAAATTAAAAAAAGAAAACCAAAAAAATGTTTTTATTGCTCATTGACAAAAGCTGACTGATATGAAACGAAAATTCTAATTGCTCGCTGACAAAAGCTGACTGATATAAAACAAAAAAAAATTGTAAAATGCTTGCTGACAAAAGCTGACTGAAATGAAACGAAAAATTGTAATGCGACAAAAGCTGACTGATATGAAGCGAAAAATTGTAATTGCACGCTGACAAAAGCTGACTGATATGAAGCGAAAAAAATGTAATTGCTTGCTGACAAAAGCTGACTGATATGAAACGAAATAGTGTAAAATGCTCGCTGACAAAAGCTGACTGATATGAAACGAAAAATTATAATTGCTCGCTGACAAAAGCTGACTGATATGAAACGAAAATTCAAATTGCTCGCTGACAAAAGCTGACTGATATGAAACGAAAATTCTAATTGCTCGCTGACAAAAGCTGACTGATATGAAACGAAATAGTGTAAAATGCTCGCTGACAAAAGCTGACTGATATGAAACGAAAAATTATAATTGCTCGCTGACAAAAGCTGACTGATATGAAACGAAATAGTGTAAAATGCTCGCTGACAAAAGCTGACTGATATGAAACGAAAAATTGTAATTGCACGCTGACAAAAGCTGACTGATATGAAATGAAAAAAATTTAATTGCTCGCTGACAAAAGCTGACTGATATGAAACGAATAATTATTATTGCTCGCTGACAAAAGCTGACTGATATGAAACGAAAAATTGTAAAATGCTCGCTGACAAAAGCTGACTGATATGAGGCGAAAAATTATAATTGCGTGCTGACAAAAGCTGATTGATATGAAACGAAAAATTATAATTGCTCGCTGACAAAAGCTGACCGATATGAAACGAAAAACTATAATATTTAATTATATTATCAAAACAAAACGAAAAACCAATTTCGGTTCAGGCGGCCAAAAATTTTAGAGCCTTCACAAGCACAGTATGTGAGAATACATGGCACACACACATTTACGAAATCTGAAATCTAAAAACAAACGCGGTATCGGAAAATAAGAATTGATAAATATTTTGTAGTGTCAGTGTACAAAGTGCGATTCTCGGCTTGCTTTCCCATCTAGTCATGAATCGAACATGTCGAAAAAATGCCGAACGTCTTAGGTCCACGACCCGAACGTCTCAGGTCCAGCAGCCGAAGACCTGGGACCTGGGACAGAAAACTCAGCTGCGACACGTTCGGTGTATGAACTGGCACATCACTGTATGGCTAGTGGTTCCAGTCACACTGGACAGCACCGACAAAACAAATCAAATCAAATATTTATTTTTCAATATATTAAGATACTTAAGATATTAATGTTTCAAAGCAGCTTGGAACAACAAATTTAACATTAATTAAAGGAAATACGGTACACAAAAATCCATACGCATAGAAGAAACTTGGTTGACCAGCAACACTGAAGTCACATTTAGTCAACATTTCTATGTAAACAATCCAATGAAAAAGAGTTCTGAAAACTAGCCAATCCTGAACAAAATTTATTCAGGAATTGGATAAAATTATTTGTTTAGGGCTGAGAGGACCAATATCAACGTTGAATGTTTTGAAAAAACAATCGATACTATCGTAATAGTATCGGGCTCAAATATTTATTAAAAAACCATTGAAAACTTTTAGGAACTTGTCCATTGTAAAAATTAGGTGCAACCTGTCGATTTGTTTACAAATTTGTCTTCGTATTTTAGAGCAGCCAATCCAAACATATCAAAAGCGCAACAACTGTAGCTCGATACTATCTTGTACTCGCAAAACCGTCGATAGTAGCGGATAGCAGCAAAACATCGATAGTGCCCTCGATGGTTTTGGTTTGACACCTCTAGCGCATCGACGGGGCGCCCAAAAAACGTTTAACACGAACTACGGTTAATTTAATAATAAAAAACACAGCAAACAATTAACGCCGAGTGCCGTGCGCAGTGTGTGATGCGAATAAGATGAACCCACGTAAAATCAACCGCCCGAACAGATGAAATCGAGAGTAGCGTCCTCGTCGGCGTCGCAAGTGTTGTGCTTTGAACATGAAAACGAGTGCTAAAAATATAAAACAACAACAATTTGGCATGCCAAGAACTGCGTAAAAAAGCCAATTGAATAATAGAGCATCTGTGCTCTGGTTTTAAGGCGAAAGCTAAAAGCCTGCTCCAGTTGGATTTTGCGAAAAATTCAATATTAAAGCAGCTGCTTGTCGCGCGTGCCCTCCCGACCACCTTTTGACGTCACAGCGCCACCAGCTGCAGAACGAAGTCTTTCACGGGTGGTGCACCATGACGCACCAGTGACGCGCATCTTATGCCCCCCAGAGTACCTGATTATATAGTGGAGTGTCTATCCCATTAGTCGCTATGGATAGTGCTATGTACTACTACGCAAAGGACAGTGGTAGTGTTGTGGCCAACACCACAGAGGCAGCAGCGTTCATGGAGGCCGACGCCACGACAGTCAGGGCCAATGCCATGCCACGCGTCGAAGATGGCGGCGTATCCATGAACAATTTCTATCCGGCATTGGTTCAGTGCTTCGGCATCATCATCTGCGGGTTAGTAGAGCAGTCACATGAGAGTACGGCTCTGTACGCGTGGGCAGATGATAAGATTACAAAATCGATATTCCAACTGTCATTGCTGCCTCGCCAAGTTCAGGGTTAAGCTGTGGCTGCGGCTGTGGGTGGGTGGCTGACCTTTTATTTAAACTCTCGCCCGCTGATATGAGGCCTCAAAGTTCATTTAGATAGTTGCCCCATCCCACACACACACACATCCCACGCATTGGCACCGTGACGCTCTTCTCACCTTATCAGTGTGTACGTGCCGCAAAGGAAAGTTCTCCATTCATTGTCCACTCTCATCTGATTCTCTGATTTGCTAATTTGTGGCCCCTCGCTCCGCCAATTATCGAGTGCCAACTCGTATTTTAATCATCTTCTGCCCAATTGCTTTGTCATGATCCAATTTGATTCCTTTGTTATTCCAAATAAACTCCGGACACACAAACAAAAACAAAAATGGTTGAACAATCAGTTAAATGAGTTTTTGTTATTATTAGATTGTTTATACTTTTTTTTGGGAACATGAGATCTGCATTATTTTGCATATCCAGCAATAAGTAGATAAAACTGAAATGGAGCTAATGACTGTTCTCTGGAATTGGGTCGTTTGTTTATCTAACTATGGAGATATTTTTGCAGCTGTCGTTGGAATTTGCAGGCGATAGAGCTCTGAAAGATGGCGAAATATGTTGAGAGTATTCCTACCTAACCAAAGGATTGGTTAAGCAGCTGCATACATACTGGTTTATATCCCTACCTATCACAAGGGGTTGATAAATCTACCCAACATTCACAACTGTACCCTTCGGGTTTTTTTCTTCATATTTTCAGCCTCATTCCCTGCTTTTATAGCTATGCAACGCACTGTACCCCTTGTTTATTGTCTTGTATGTAATTTATGCTGCCTGATCTTTGTGGAATTTCTGATTTATTGCAAAAAAACGTCAGTAGGGTTTTTCTCTTGATTACGGAATTTTAAGTTGACTCATTGAAGTAGCGATCGAATATAGATATTTGTAGATTTTTGCATTACTTCCCACTGTATCACAATACCGAAAAACTAACCCAAAAATATGAACCAATTTCGCAACGCTTGCGGTTGAAATTTTCCAGGGAAACAACCATAAAGCTATTAACAAAGTTGGCACAAATGAAACTATTAAATGGAGTGCCGCTCTCTGGCTGTGGGAACAGCTTGTGCCAATCTCCCACGGGGGTCTCTCTTGTTAAATCTTGATTTATGCATCTGAGCCGAAAACTAATTGACTGTTAAACAATAATCGAAAGTAAAAACGTTTAGAGAGTGCGAGAAAAAACACTTCAACATACAAACACGAGAGAGTCAACAAAACAATTACAAAAATGACCTTGCCAAACGCTGCAGCAGGCAGCCGTAGCCGCTGCCGCAGCCACCTGAGGCAATATCTATCCAATATCGTATCTGTTTTGTATTGTACTTATTTAGATTATGCAAGCGCCTATTACCGACTTGACTGCCAATTACTGGCGATATGCATGCTACACCCCCAGCGTAGACATTCATTCAAAAGCATTCCTACTGTTCAATCAAATAATTATAGAATATACATATATATTGTAGCTTCTACTTATATTGCACTTCTCCAGGTAGGGGTTTGGTTCGGTAATTTGTTTTATTTCCCAACAGTTTTGTCCGGTGCTGACATTGCCATCTGGCAGTTTCAGAACCCAAAAAGGTTTTACATGGAGTGCCTCACGACTGTATAGATGCCCTGTAAATGCTTTCTTTAATTGCTAAAGAAATATATAGATACTACCGAACACGATCTGTAACAGCTTTAAGTTTTATGGGTTCTTTATATTGAATATAGTCTCGGTATATATAACAGACCTCTCCTCCCCCCGTGTGCTCTCTGGCACTCAAAAAACAAGCGCTTCAATTCAAGTTTTTTGTAATCTCTCGTAATGCAATTGAAATTTATTTTACGACCATTATCAGATTGAAATTATACTTCACCCTTTTATATAGTAGAACTTTGTGTTCGTATTTTGATTCATTCGGTGTTAATTGGCTTTTTCATCGTGTGGAATTGATGGATTTCCTTACTAGACTTTCGATCGGGCTATAGGCTGATAAGCTTAGTTAGTAATCACCTGAATACTTGAATATTTCCCACACCAGAGCGGCTGCCACTTAAGCTTACAT